TGCGTGTTGCAGTTGCGTGCAACGGAAACACAATGACGGGAAACAGCTGCGGCACCGGCGGCGCCGACACCGCGGATCGCGCCACCTGAGGCGGGCGTTTTCTTAACTTTAAAATAGAAACTGTTGCAAACGTGCGCGCGGAGGCGCGACTACATAATCATTCATCCGGACGAGACCCTTAGGCATAATCGCGAAGCCATGGAGATTGCGCAAATTTTAATATGCGGTAAATCTTTGATATACGGAAACCGTGACGAGTACACTGCTGCAGGTTGCGATAATGCATTACATAACGTTTCTTACCGTATAATGTTCCGAGGAGCTTGTCCTGCCGCTTGCCGGGTGGTTTATCGCGCGTCGGACAGAACGGTAGGTCAGTGTGCGCGTCGTGAAGATGTTGCGGATACTCCAAGTCGACTTCGAGAATGTAGCCTATCGAGGAATCCTATGCGACATCTATAACATTAAAATCGGTTTCGTCGTCGACCCATTTAAAATCTGCGTATGGCAATGATTGACTCATTGCCCAGCCGTATAAGTTGTTTACGTCGAAATACATCAGGTATGACGACGGTTTCGATGAATCGTACGACTGCATGTACTTGTTGTTGGCCAGCGCGTATCTGTTTGAACATTGACTCAAACCGCCGCGTATACCTCGTTCGATTAACATGACCATGTCAATGTCGGTGAGCAATTCGAAATTGATACGCTTATGCTTGAACATAGCATCCCACGTAAAACCCGGTAGAGTGTAATAATACGCGGGATGGAGTCCATAACTCGCGACGCAGCTATCGCGAAAATTTTCAAAGATATTGGCCAACAGCAAGACATCGGTTTTGAGATATAAATCGCTGTAGTCACCGAGCGTTCGAATGGAGAACCGCTGCCAGACGTTGACGGCGTGCGCGTAATCGCTCTCGGATACGGTGTCACCTGTCAATGAACTGTAAAACGAGTCGCGCGGTGGTAAACACAAGTTCTCCAACTTTTCTGGACGAAATACGCCTTTTCTTCAGCAAAACAAAATTTTCTGCGGATAATTTACAAAATTCGCGTTGCAATATTCGCAGTTTATCCTTGCTGAGATAAGATGCCAATTTGTCGAGACTAGCAATGAGAAACTTGTACGAATCGATAAATCGCAATTTGACGCAAGTTTTCTTATCTTTATCTTCGGTGCTTTGAACGTTTTTTGTAAACAAAATGTATTTTTTTTGTGATTGGGAGTAAGTCTACATGTCCTTCGTACGCTGTTGCTATTTCCGTTATAATAAAATGTGCATCGTATCCCGATAAAATATGAAACACTATGGGAATGCAATGCGAATCTTTATAATTTAAGTTACAATTAGAATGCGCGGGACCTCTGTATCGGCCGGTCAGGTGCAATGGTCGCGTACTCGCACGTCGTCTGGCTCGAACGGTTCTTCGCACACGTGACAGTGCGTTGCGCTGTTAAATTTTTCCCACTCGTCTCGCGTGAAATCTGCCATGGGTATATTAGTAGACAATATAGTTTTTACGTCGTGAGCTAAACGTCTTAGCTCCTCGGCGAACCACGCGACGCAATCCTTATCGCGACGAAACCGATACATTGATAACGACACGTCGTACGAGCAACGCACTTAGTACCCTATGCTATAAATACGCGATGATGCTGATATGTGTACCTGAACGTATCCGGATCCGCTTCCATCTTCTCCAGGGTACATTCCAGGTCGGCGTATACGATAAACGGAACTCGTTCCTTCCTGTTGTGATTCTTAAAGGCCAACCACTTGTCGTTATCGCTCGGTAATTTGATCGCGCAGTCATTCATCTCCTGACAGTCGACGGTGTGGGCTTCCAATTTCTCGCTCGTGTAGAAATAATGCGAACATCTGTAAATAATAAAATTTTTTGAAGTGAAACTTCTTTAGGCAGGGTAGTGAGTTTGATTCGCGACACGAAAAAGTGTAACGGAAGTGAAACTTCTTTGGTACAGTAGTAAGTTCGATTGTGCGACACGGAAAGTGTAACGAAAATTTGACCAATAGGCGTACGGCGTTGGCGAGACGGTTCTTTTTCTGGCACGGTAGTAAGTTTGATTATGCGACACGAAAAGTGTAACGAAAATCCGACCATGGTGAGTGCTCAATTGCGAGCTCACGAGGCGGGATAGGTTCTTGATCCATGCAAAATGTCCCACGTTGTCATCATGCACGTATAACAGATTTACATGTCTATCCATCTTTCGGTCGGCGAGCCGTATTGATAGGATAGCAAGTCCCTTGTTTTTTTTCTCGATGCTGTAGACGTTGATGGAGATGTCGTTGTGATTTTCAAATTTTTTTAATTTGATCCAACGTCATTGGAAACTCAATGTCCGTAAGATCTAGCACCGACGTGTAATGAGGGACGATTTTCGATATGTGTGTTCCTCAACTGGCTACAGAGCAGCCGTCACTGACCATGCGAAACATGCATTGTCCATTGATCGCACGTTTATCACCGCTTTCTTCTTTTTAATTTCTTGCGGTATTTCCACAAAACACCCCGCGTGCAATGGATTATATTTGTTCACATTAACAGTCAAATTGAGTATACGCGACAATGCCCATCCGCTATCACGTTCCTGAACTTCCTTCAGTTTTGCTAAGGTAGGCTCGATGACGTGTCGCTTGTACCACTCACACAGATCGGACTCACGAAAGAGTTTACTGTTTCTCGTTGCGATACTTTTATTTGCGCGTTTGTCACCCGCAACAAATTCACCATTAAACATTGTGTTTATTTTTACATTGTCGTGCCGTTGCATGACGTTTCGCACATGACTGAGTACAATTTTTCTCGCATCTTTGAGAAATTGACGAGGGTCGATGTGTTTGGAATTTATTACCGCACCAGTCAGTATACGACTTTCAAAAGCCGTATCTATCTCGCGCCATCTGAGTCCTGTCTCACTCGCACTGTATCCAGCACCCACATGCACGAAACGTTGACGTACCGAATCTTTCAAACTTTCGAGTCTTGCGATACAAGCGACCAACGACTGTTTAAGACCAATCGATAATCGTGGCCGTTTAATTCGGCTTTGTTCTTCCAACGATTCGATAAACTCGTCACATCGTTGCTCCCACGCGGCAAAGTCTTCCCTCGAATTTAAAAGGGTGGATTGCTCCAACAACTCTTGCTCCATGTTATTGCACGATCCTCTTGCTAACGCCATTTGTTGCACTCACGACTTCCAATTCTCGACTATTGAGCGTATCCCCCAGATTATTCATTTTATATTCTACTAATGATGCACCGTTTGCTTATCATATCTAATTTCACCATGATCTCAACATCCATACGGATGCGCCTTTCGAAAAAATCTATGATGTGCAGTTTTGCACGTGTTCAATAAAATCATCGCGAGACACGCCGCGACATGTTCTTGAAAATAATAACGCTCCATTGACTTATGTGAAATTACAAAATTTGCAGTTTTGCACGTGTTCGATGAAATCATCGCGAGACACGTATGTTCTTGACAAATATATCACATTTAACATGTATGTGGATTGTGGTGGTGGTGATCACCCTGCAGCAGCGACGCTTGGCCGAAATGCAATCTTGCATTTTTAAGATCGCAGAAAAAAATATCTGCGAGAATTCTAGAGCGCAGTCGAGAGTTACTCGCGCAGTTGAGAGTTACTTGCGCAGTTGAGAGTTAATATATCTGTAAAAATACAGTATGGGAACGGACAGACGCTATTGCTCGTCGATGGTGCGTTTGCTTCGTGGCAGAAAAGTTGGATTTCGAAACGTACTTACTGGCAATGACACATGGTGTCCCAAGCATTCTGTATTGCATCCATTTATAAAAAAGGCGTGTTACCTGAGTGAATTTTGTTTGTATCGAAAAATTGAAGTCTCTTTTCCGCGATGCCGATTGGTTATCTCGATTGATTGCCGCGCCGTAGCTTGCTTCATCCCGTGAGGGACTGTCATCGCGGAGTGTGGCGAGTTTCGTGCGTGTAGTGCGTCGTGTGTGTCATGATGTGACAGCTCGCGTCGTGTCGCGAGGTTAATTGTCCCGCGTCGTGTCGCGATTATTATATAATAGCATAATGTTAAAGCTAAATAGCGCGCGCGAAGCGCGCGTCTGTAGTGTCTAGTATCATTAAAACTGCAGATAATTGCGAGTCGAGCTCATGCTTTAAAACATGTTGGTGTATGGTTCGTGGCAGTGTTCGTGATGTTTACAATGAAGAATCAACACATGGGATTATCTGGACATCATCCATGTCACATCTATTAAATTTGCCTATTGAAAACGAACTCTGTTTACAGTGTGGAGGGGAGTGCAAAATAAAATGGGGTCCGCTAATATTTGTATCCCCATTCACTCGGGGGATTCTACCGATGCCACTTCGATATGTATGAGAGCATAATGAACTACTACGTTCCGATTCAGGATGAAACGTGCGAGAAACAGCACAATGAGTAAGTATCGCTAATTTTCGTATATACTTGTGCAAAAAAAACTTTTATAAACATAATTGTACTTTCTTTCAGTTTTGATAAACCTCGTTATACACCACGTATTTTGGGAAGAAGATTTGCCTTGACATCGACAGCATATAAATTTTTGGATGTTGGAATCAACACTGGACCTATGTCCTCTGTGGATATACTTATTGGCGATAACCGAGGCAATCGGATAATTTTGCCTCATGCAATGTGGGTGACATTCATCGAAAAACGTGCAGATATTCAGCGACTTGTGCAGTCACCGGCGCCATCATCGCTAGCGTTTCGAGATCTGGAACTTGTTAAAATACGTGACACAGATATTGTAAAATTGACATCGTGCAACAACAGCTTGTACATGAAACCGCCAACCGTACTCTTCCTGTTCGAACTAGAACATTGCGTCGAGAATGTGTATTTTCAACTATGCCAAAATGTTCATGGCGTAAGTGAAAAATTTAAACAATTTGTAACAATTTTACGCCAAAATTGTATCACCGATAAATGTAATGCAGTTAGAATCTTGCGTGAATTTTATGATAAAAATTCGATTATTGATTGTGAACTGTTGGCGTATGCTGCTGATAATAATATTATACACGATGCATTACATGATAAATAAATGTATATTAAAATGCATATCACTGTATCTAAAATTATTTTTCCTTCTGTCTACCGTCCTCTTGTCTACCGTCAATGGTTTATAATTACAGAACTCTCGATAAGAATGCGTGTGCCGCACTCGTTGCGCGATCATTAAACGTTTTCTCTCATCCGTCTCATGTAAATTATTAAATATTCTTTCTCTTATTTCAAATAAAAAGAAATCATTTAAAATAATATAAAAATGATCTAACTATAATAGGTGATGGGAGCGAGAGGGACCACGCGCGAACGAGGGAGAGAGACCGCGCGAACGAGAAAACGCGCGCGACCGGGGGACGGCGGAAACATCTACGAGGGGGACATAACGCGAGCATGCCGTGTGATGTCACGCGGACCAGCGCGGCCGTTGCACGTGGACTCCGCGGCGCGGCGAAAACGCGGGTCCCCTCACCCCACGGACCCATCTCCCGCGGCGCCGGAAAAACGTGGTACCCCCTCCCCCTCCCCCACCCCCGCGACGCCGGAAAACGCGGTTTCCCCCCTTTCCCGCGGCGTTTGAAAACGCGGCCCCCCTCCCCGCGGCGCCCGAAAAAGCGGGTCCCCCCTCCTCTTCCCCCGCGACGCCCGAAAAACGCGGGTCCCCTTCCCCTCCCGCCCGCGGTATCCCCCCTGGCCCGCGGTATACCGCCCCTCAGATCCCCGCCTAGAACGCTCATAGCTTACCTACTCACATGTCTATATGTCTGTACATATTTTTGAGATTCTTACACACACGCATGCATTACGCGGACAATTCTAGTCAAACATTATATATCATTTGTCTGTCATTAACTTTTTGACAGTATTGTCATAGACGAACTATCTTAATAATAAAAATAGATACAAAAAAAAATGTATATAATTTTTTTGTAGAAAATTTTATAAGCTTTATTTTTTATATGAAACATAATTCCGATATCGCTAATCGATAACAAGATATAAGCAAAAAACTGAATTGGAGCGCCATTTTTTCAAGATGGCGGCTCGAGCGCAACAGATTGAGTTCGGGACTTTTAGTATGTTTAATAGTACGCCTGAATGAACATCATTGCCAAATTTTAAAATTTTATTAATTATTTTTTTCTAATTTTCTCTATTTGACTGGACTATAAGAGGAAAACGAGGGAAGGATAAACTCTTATTCAACGCTTCAAGGGGGTTATCTATATTTTTCTAACTTTGTACGCATGTTAGTGTACGACAAGGATAGGTGGCCCCTCTGATAGTACCTATTCTTCTCTCACATTTCGACTGTCAGTATGAGTGTTCTATATGTATACAGGGTGTTCCATTTCAACTTTCGCACTATAATATCTTGAGAACCAATAATTTTATTGAAAAACGTTTCAGACAAAAGTTGTATGGATTAGAGGGGGCCATCAAATGAGCAGACTAAATTTTGGGTCCGGCACCCACTTTAAATCTAATAAGACTCAACTTGATTTTCTTTAGTAGAAACCCCAATTTTTTATTGTATCATCTTTTTCTACTAATTAATTTGAACAGCTCTAAAACATTTTTCTATTTGCCTAATACTTTTTAAGGTATTCAAGGAGAACTTAGTAACTTTTTCAATATTTAGCTTACGATATCGATAATAATTGTTTGTTGGAGGGAAAAGTAGTACAGGACTTTTTGACTTGATTTTGTCTCGAGAATATGCTATTGCAATAGTACTCCAATTTTGTTAATACTAGACATTACAGACGCGCGCTTCGCGGGCGCTGTTTAACTTTGACATTATACTATTACTATTACATTAACTCCTTGATACACACAACTGTCAAAATATACCATGACAGCTGCTCATGAAGTAAGCGCAGTGAAAAACCAATCGGCATCGCGGAAAAGCGACAACAATAAACTTCGACAGATTCGATTATCGACTTTACACTTTACACTTTACATGTGGACTAGACACTACAAGCGCGCACCATTTAGCTTTTTTTATAACAAAATATTTACACCACAATAAAAAAATAACTGCGTTTTGAATAAGTAACTTTAATTGTCATTCGACTTTTGGCGATGACAGCCACAAAAATATGGTGAAGCAAGCCGGGATGCAAGCTTCATCAAGATACATCTGACACGAACGCGCGCAATACATCGAGATAACCAATCAGCATCGCGGAAAAGGAGCAACAATAAATTCGACTATCGACTTAACACGGCCTTTTTAAGAGTGGATTTGTGTATGCATAAAAGCTCCAAAAAAATGCATACACAAATATTTAAAAATATTTAAAAAAATTGAAGTACTATTGCAATAGCATATTCTCGAGACGAAATCAAGTAAAAAAAGTCCTGTATCACTTTTTTCTCCGACAAATTATCGAGATATCGTAGTTAAATATTGAAAAAGTTACCAAGTTTTCCTTGAATATCTCAAAAAATATTAGGTAAATAGAAAAATATTTTAGACAAAAGTTGTTCAAATTAATTAGTAGAAAAAGATGATACAATAAAAAATTGGGGTTTCTATTAACAAAAATTAAGTTGAGTCTTATTAGATCCAAGTAGGCGCCGGACCCAAAATTTAGTCAGCTTATTTGATGGCCCCCTTCAATCCATTCAATATTTTCTGAAACATTTTTCAATAAAATCATTGGTTCCCAAGATATTACGGTGCGAAAGTTAAAATGGGACACCCTGTATATTTCAGTGGGTAGGCCAAATTTGGCTGGCACGAGAAGTAGTGCGCGCGGGCGGCGCCGATATAAACACGGGTAGCGGTGCCGCTGTGAAGTTGGCACCTCATTTTCTAACACCGCAAGTTTTATGCAAGTTTTATTTGCATCCGTAATAGTTCTACAGTTCCTAATACATCATAGCAATAGTTCCGTCAAAGTAAACAAAATCGCACTTTAAAAATATGAGGTGCCAACTTCCGCACCGCAACACAAAAGAACTCAAAAAAAGGTCAATTTAACTATGTAATTCGATAGTTAGAGTTCTATAGTTTCTGATATGTTTTAGCGAAAGTTGCGGCCTTTAAATAATTTTTAACAATTTTTTAATCTTATCGTTGGCATC